AAAAAAAAAAAAAAAGAAACAAAGAAAGAGCATATATTTGTACTTCTGTGAAATCCATCCATGGGTCTATCAATGCATCCATATATTTATAAATCTTCTGAAGTCTGACTAGGATGTTTTAAAAAATATTTTTTTAATGTTTATTTACTTTTTAGAGAGTCAGAGACAGAGTGTCAGTGGTGGAGGGGCAGAGAGAGGGAGATACAGAATCTGAAGCAGGCTCCAGGCTCTGAGCTGTCAGCGCAGAGCTTGACCTGGGGTTTGAACTCATAGACTGCGAGATCATGACCTGAGCTGAAATCAGATGCCCAACCGACTGAGCCACCCAGTCGCGCCAGAGTCTGGCTAGGTTAAGAAGCTCCCAAGCATCTGACTGGATTCATCTCTGGAGCATTTTAAATTGTATGTATGTTGTGACAACTCCTGTTTTGGTTTATTTGTAATATCAGTTTAAGAAGCGCTCTACTGCATTAGTATAGCTATCATTTAAAAACTGGAAAATAGCACGTGTTGGTGAGGATATGACGAAATGGGAGCCCTTGTGCATTGCTGGTAGGAATGTAAAGTTATGCAGCTGCTTGGAAGACAGTTTGGCAGTTCCCCAAAAGAGTAAACCTAGAATGACCGTATCTGCAGTCTCACTTGTAGGTATGTATACCCAGAAGAATTGACAGCAGGATTCGTACTTGTATACCATCTTAGTCTGTTTGGACGATTACAGCAAAAGTACTAGAGTCTGGGTGGCTTATAAATGACAGAAATTTGTTCCTCATAGTTCTGGAGGCTAGGCAGTCCAAGATTAGGGTGCCGGCAGCTTGGGTGTCTGGTGAGGGTCTGTTTCCTCGTTCATAGACAGCCACTTTCTCGCTGTGTCCTCACATGGCAGAAGGGTTGAGGAAGGGGTGAGGGAGCTCTCTGAGGTCTCTTTTACAGGGGCACCGCTCCCATTCTCCTAATGATCTAATCACCTCTTGAAGGCCCCACTTTGAAGTACCAATCACATCAGGGATTAGGTTTCATCATACGAATTTGGGGCGGGAGACACAAATATTCAGTCTGTAACATGCACCAATGTTCATAGCAGCATTCCTCATAATAGCCAAAAGGTGGGACAGGCAAAATGTCCATCCACAGATGAAGGGGTCAGCAAAATGTGGTACACGCATATAATGGAATATTATTCAGCCTCAGAAAACGAAATTCTGACATATACTATAACATGGGTGAACCTCGAAGACACTAGTTGAAGTGAATGAAGCCATTCACAAGGGACAGACGATCCCACTTACATGAGGTAGAGTAGACGAATTCATAGAGATAGAAAGCAGAATAGTGGTCGCCCTGGGCGGGGGGATGGGAGAGGGGAAACGTGGAGTCTGTCTTAGACAGACTTAGCTAGTTCTGCAAGCTTATTTTATTATTAAGAGTGGATCTCGAGGAATCTGTAGGCTCTGTGAAGGCTGGGTGAGCAGCCACATGGGGCATCCAAAGTTCATGTGTGGCTGTTTTTTTTTTTTAACTTTTTTTTTTTTTTTTAGAGCAGTTTTAGGTTTTACAGTAAAATTGACAGGAAGGTGCAGAGATTTCCCACATGCCTTCTGCCCTGACCTATGCATAGCTGCCCCCATCATGAACATCATTCGCAAGCATTGTATGTATTTTACCCAGGATAAGTCAACACTAATGCATCCTAATCAGTTGAAGCCTATAGTTCAAGCCTACAGCCTTAGGGTTCCTTCTTGCTGTTGTACATTCTATGGGTTTGGACAAATGTGTAATGGCAGATGGCTATCATAATCCCATACATCGATATCGCGCAGGTATCTATCGTGTTCTCTCCCCAAAAATCCTCTGT